TAAGTATAAAACCTCTCTGGATGACTTTCCTTTATCACCTCGTAAAAAATAAAAGAGAGAGCAAGTAATTTTTACCTTTAATTCACTTTTCCTTTTTGTTTTTTTCTTTTCTTTTTGTTCTTGTACTGGTCTTTTTTTTTTTTTTACAGATGCTCTTGCTTTAAAAAGCTTGTAAAATAAGAAAAAGAACCTCTAGAACTTGCTCATTCTTGAATCATATATATTTACTAGAACCTTTAACGCTTGAAAACAATTTTCTTTTCATCTCTTTCTTAGATCTCAAATAGGACTGATAATAAGTATGATATTAATCACAGATAAAAGTGAAAAAGGAAAAATAAAATAACTTGAATAATATTTGACAGATAATAAGTTCAAATTTCGTCAGCTTCAATATTGTACTGTGTTAAAGTTGTTTCTTGGAAGAACATGCTATTGTCTTTTGAAGATAAAGCATTGTTCATCACTTCATCTACGTGGAAGGCCAATCATCTCACACACACACTCACACATCTACATAAAGAAATTCTAAACCTAGTTTGAATTCTATTTCTATTAGATAGTCTTGAAACAAAGCTGAATTAAAAAAATATAAAAATAAAAATTGAATCAGAGTCGTGGATGATACATATAAGTGGGTAATGAGTTGTAAGACGTATTCTTCTTTTAAGCCGATCATCCCAAAAAATCTCCGTGTTGATTTCATTCTTATTTTTCTTGAAAGTTTACAGGTTCAATACTTTAGGGTACTGAAATTTAACAAATAGAAACCTATTTTTATCTTCAGAGAATCCCTTTTTTGGAACAAAACTTTTTTTAAATCCCAAGGCCTTAATTCATAGGCAGAAAGTGTCAATTCATGATCATTAATCTTTGAAGCCCACAAGTAAAGTCCATTTTACTCTAGTAGAAAATATTAATGAAGATCTTCGAAAAAATTTTTGGGGTTCTAATATTTACAAAAGAAATACATAAAAGTTAAATTTAAAAAAAAAAAAAAAAAAACGTTTCAACATGCTCCTACAACTCTTGAGGTGCCGAGCTAGTTGGTACATCTGCGTGCACTTACTGCTTTCTATCTCCGTCATACTTACTAAAGAAAACAAAAATTCTCCTACAACTCCTGAATTTTGAACACTATGCGTTTATCAACAATTTCAAGAATCCTTAAATCGTCGATGGACTGATTATCTTCAATATTTTCATCATCAAAGCCAATGTTCAAGTCCAATGAAACACAAGGGCTTTTTTCTTCCTTTTCCTCCTGCAATGATCCATCTGATTTTTGCTTAGTAGAAGGTGAAGATGCTCTTGAGCTAGTGTTGAAGCTATCACAACTCAATATGATAATGGCATCACAAAGGCTAACTTCTTCACCATTTTCATTGGTTATTCTGCCTTTTTCAATGGCCCTTTTTATGCTGATTTGAGAAAAGTAATCCGCCTGATCCAAATCTTCTACCAAGAAAACGCGGTGTGAATTAGCAGACACGGCCTGAGAAAATCTGTCAATGTAGTTACTGTTTTGTTCATCTCTTGTTCGTTTATGTCGATAATCATCTGTTGAGTCTGACCTTGTACATGAAAATCGATTAAATGGAATGGACACAAAGTTTGAATAAGAGCCAAAAATAATTTTAGCCAATTCTCTTGCAACTTTTTCCTTAGCTTGTGCATCAAGTCCTAGGAAGAACAACCAAGTTTCTTCTTTAACCTCATTGCTTCTTACCATGTCTTTTCTTCTTAACATTCCAGACCTGCATTGAAGTATGCTTCCAGCAATTTCAGGAATGATTTCTTTCTGCCATGGGACTTTTTCCTCCAATGCATTGCATACAAAATTCAAGTTTTCAGCATTGAATACCTTGAACTTTTGCGCATAATCCCTGTCCATAACATCGCTTAAGGAAGCAGGATTAGGGGTAGAATTAGGATTAGATGAAAAGGCTTGTCGAGAGAATGGTATTTCCTGCAAACTTGGATTCTGTAAATCGAACGAAAAGTAAGAACTAGATGGAGAAGTTGATGCAGAAGAGAAACTTGGGGTTCTTTCCAATGCCTTAGATTTCTTGTGGACTGAATTACATATTTCATTCCATTTGCTGCAGAGTTCTCCCAATGAGAGACAGTCCTAAAATCAAAGGGATCATACAAAAAGGAAAAAAATAGTTTTAGACTTGTTTTTGTTGAAGATATAATTTAAACACTTTTAAAATTTAGACATGACAATTCGAATAAGATATCAAAGTTGAGGTTCTTAATTGAAGTCTTATCATCATAAAAATGTAATTTAAATAAATAAATTTGTTCACTCCCCAACAACTAAAACTTCTAAGTGTGGCAGTTCAAAAGTCTTATAGTGGAATAACGGACATCTGATGAAAAAACAAAAGCAAAACAGAAGTTAGAAAAAACTATCACCTGAACATTACTATCAAGTACTCTTCTGCTTTCATTCCTGAGCCAAGGAGGCAAGCTTGACAATGTGGGCTCAGTGGTCCAAGTGTTTGTTCGTAAGTTTCTGGCTTCTTTGTCGAATTCTGCGGAACAATCTGCACAGCAATTGAGCTTTTCTTCTCCATCTATAAGCAGTTGCTGAAGGCCTCCATTTCCCGCATCTTGGTTTATAGCTTCAGTTTCTTTATCACTGAGCCAAACGAAAGAAATCATCCCTTCATAATGAGTTTTAACTTATATGTTTTAACTTTTCAACAAAATAAAAGAAACCATTTACAATCAATCAACAAAAAAAAAAAAAAGTATATCCAAGAAATCTACAGAATTATACGCAGAAGAAATTCAAGAAATTATGTCCATATGAACATATTGAAAGCTTAAGGTCAATAAATTTTTACCTGTCAGAAATGAGACTCAAGCGCAAACTGTTACCAGGAACTGTAACAGGATGCAAACCCCAGATATTTTCCAGTGAAAACTGCCCACTTCTGCACCTTGTAAAAGTATGAAAGGTTGCAATTCCCATGAGCCAAAATTTACCAATTTCTCCAATTCCACAAACCAATCTTCCAATTTCCATGATCATGTGCTCCACAGGACAGTAGTAGCTTGTCTCTTGTCCCCAACAATTGGCTCTATAATCAGTAATCCATTTCAAATCTCCTAAGTACAAAACAACTCCTTTTTCAACAAGACTCTTCACAAGGCAAGTCAATTCTCCCATCTTTTGTTCAACAACTTCTCTGTGCTGATTACAGAAAGAATGAAATGGGATGCTTATGAATTTTACTTCTCTAAGATATTCAGGAACTCCTCCTTCGTCAACCCTTTGCATCACTCCTCGAACTATACTTTCTAAACTGGTTATACATTCGCCTACTATCACAATACTTATCTTTCTTCTGTTCACCAGAGTTTCTACTACACTGTTAACGTCCTCGTTTCCGACTGGTTCAGAAGTACTTGGTTTTCTAGTTTTTTCCATGGTTTGACTAATGGTGGGAGATGGAGAAAGGGTTAGAAGGTTATTTTCTTTGGACTTATTTAGAGTAGGAGAGTTTTGAAAGCATGATTCTGAAGAAACCGCTTTCTCCACATTGCTTTTCACTTGAGTGCTCAAAAAACCAGCTTCTTTCATAACTCTACTGACACTGGGATCATCTAAAATGGAAATTACGAGCTGCTTCAGCTGTATTTTGACAGCCAGTAGTGGTTGCTGCTGGTTTTCGATGCCACGCCTCTGGTGAGCTTGAGCACGCTTAAAGGCGGCCACAAGCGCGTTGGAAATGGACGGATATTGTTGAGAAAGGTGGGGTGGGCCGCCTAACATGGGACTCGGTGAGGAAGCTGGGAGGCGATTGAGCGCCACGTTAAAGCAAAGCTCTAGAGCTTTGCATTGGAGAGGATGGGAGTGAGACTGAAGGCAAGCAGTACGTAAAACACCACTGGAAGCCGCCAGCATGGTGGTTGCTACATGCAGCGGTGTCACCTGTGCATGGCCGCGCCGCTTAGCAAGCGCCACCGCCTGTTTGACTACACCTGCAGCCTCCGCAGTTAGAGTTTGCTGCACAGTACAACCTCCTGCTCTCATCCTTTCTCTTGGCTCCACTGATTAATTATTCAACAATAACAGAAACGAAAAGGAAGTTGAAAAGGTGAAATTAAGGAAAATCTTGGGGAAATATTCGTTTCATAAGATTTTTCTGGAATGAAAGAACAAGTAAAGTATTTGGATCAAGAAAACAATAATCAACAGAACCAAAACCTAAGAAGCCTTGTGCTTAAAATCTAAGATTAGATTGTGATTTTGATCAAACAGAGTAAAATATATGGGAGAAGGGGTTGTTCTTTTCTTGCATATATGGTAAAATTGGGGTCCAAAGTTGATTTTGCAGTGGAAAGTGGCATGCATGTGCTGACGAGGACGAATAGCAGCAGTATCAAAGGCAAATCAGCTTTATCCTCACCCCCACCCCACTCCCACCACCCTTTTGGTAGATATATATCTCTCTTTCTGCATTACAGATATACAGAAAAATGATTTTAAGCACCGTTCTTTAGTTTATATTAAGCAAGAGTAACATGAAATTTAATTTAATTCTTGAGACTCACCAAAAACTTATCAGTGTCATGTCACTGTTGTAATATAATTTCTCCATACATACTTACGACAAGACATGGAATGTGGTAGTGGAACTCTACCTTTCATGCAAATGAATCATATACAGCCACCTGTGAGCACGCAGATATATATATATATAGTATAATGAATCTTTTCTCTTCCACGTTATCAGACAGTGGAATTGAATATTTCCTCAAGAAAATTTGAGTGGAAAAGTTGAAGACCAGTTTTTTATATCTTTACCAACGTGGGTTTTTAATTAGTATAAGTTGTTCTTGCATGATGAAAATCGTCAATTTTTCTATACCATCTCTGGTATCGGAGCCCAACCCTAGTCACCTCTTCCATCTTCGAGGACAATAACAATAATAGAATTGTTAGTGAGAATGTATCTTGTTACTATTGTTACCTTTTTGTTATTTGCATGCATTTTCCAGCTTCTTCATAGAATCTCACATCACATGGTTCGATGAAAGAAACATTTCGTGCTACATATGTAAGACTTATGCATATTACGATAGAGATCTCTTTCATGTGTAAGCAAAATAAAGACGTGCTGTAATAGGGTTCAAAACCTAACAGTATCGGGGGGTAAGGTTTCATTGTCACCTTCTTAGCAATCAGATTGGCCAACGGGAGATACAAAGCAAGTGGGATTTGGAGCTGTTTCAAATTCTTGGCGGAGGTAACTGAGGTTTAGGGGTGACATCAGAATCGACAAAGATTGAGATGGTGGAGGCGGCAATGGTTGCGCTCTTTGGGTAGGGGCTCGGATTTTATATATATATATATATA